CTAAGGCTTCCTCTTCACTTGAAATAAAATCAGATGCTCCCCAGAGCCAGCCAGCCCTCACCTTCACCAGCCACTCCCTACCCTAGCCCGACCTTTCCTTTCTTGCCCCATGTGCGTTACTCCTTTTTTCTTCCTGCAAAGGCATCATTCTCATTCCCTCCCTTAATTTGGTCTCTCTTTCTAGAATATCTTTTCCCTCTGGACTGCTTCTTCTTGGTGTTCATGTCTCAACTCAAATGTCACTTCCTGTAGAGACCATCCCTGACATCAAAAAGTGGGCTTCCAGAAACAATAGAGGACCTGGGCAAAGAAAAGAAAGCTCCTTGACCCAGTGTAGCCAGGAGAGCCCACTGGTTGACGCTGCAACTCAGCTGACTAAGCCCACATGGTAGGCCACATGGGAGGCCTGGGTTTGATTTCTAAAAACTGGGTCAGCACACAACTGTTGTTCCCAACTACTAGAAGCCTTAGGCAGGAGGATTATGACACAGCCAGACCCTGCCTTTAGAAAAAGAAAAGGAAAAATAAAGCAAGCTCCTTGGAGAAACCCTGGTAATATTCCCTCTCTCAATGAGGGAGTCAGATGTCCGGTAGCTATGGAACTTCTCAGGACACAGCAATGTAGAGTGAGCAGAAACCTCCCACGGCCTGGGAAAACCCAGAGTTGAATAACAGAACCTTATCTCTGAGAACTTATACTTTCTTGATTTGTTTTTTTTTCTTTCTTTTTCTTTCCTTGACTGTATTGTTGCTAAAAACAAAAGAGAAAGAGAGAGTTCCAAACCCATGGATTGTCTCATTCCTAGATAGAAGCCTATATCCATTATTAACAACAATGTAGCTTTCTACATTGATTTTTTTTTTGAAATCTATATTGTATGTCTGTTCTTCATTTAAAGTTGATGAAATATTTTGTACTGATACTTCTCTGCCAAACTCAGATAAATAAGGATTGGGGCCAGATGGTGGCACAGAGTTAAAACACAACGGCTCTTCAAGGCTGGCCCTCCTGGGAAACTTTCAGGTTCACCACCAGAGACTTCCCTAAGTATGCCAGGTTTAAACATGCCCATGATCCAGGACTGTCTGAGGCTGGCAGTGTATTATAGCATGTTCCCTCTCTTTCTCTGTCTCTCTTGCTCATGAAGTAAATAAGTAAATATTTTTTGAAAGATTTGTGTGTATGTGTGTTCTAATAAAATTTTATTTTTAGGACCAGCAGGAGGCATGGTGCTGGACTCCCACATGGCCGACCATGGTTCTAGTCTCAGATCCCTGGTGACTTGTTTTTTCACTTTTTCTCTTTCTCTCTCTCTTTTTCTCTCTCTCTCTCTCTCTCTCTCTCTCATGCCCTAAAGCAAATTTTAAAATAATAATAAATTAATTAATTAAATTAAATTAATAATTATTTTTAAATTTTTATGTATAAAAATAAGCCAGCAGGCTGGATTTAGCCTACATGCTGCAGTTTTTCAACCCTTGGCCCCAAAGCTAGATTAGGTTGAGGCTAGGTTTATTTGTCAATAATTCTTCATTGACCACCAACATGATTTTGTGATTTCATGTCTTCTCAGGAGATATATGATGTCACATTGCTCCACTCTTGGTGATGTTAAACTTGATCCCTAAATTCAGATGGTTGATGGTTGGACAACCCAGAACTTGTGAGCAACCTTGAAGCAACCCAGAGCTGATAGCTGCCTGGGTTTTCTGTTTCCCTGCAAGCTAGCTGCCCCTCCCCTGAACTGTTGAATAGCCAAAGCCCTTGAGCAGGATGAATTCCCTCCTTCTCTACCAGCTCTGCATTAGGGCAGACACTGAGCTCCTTCTCTGATAGGACACTCCAAGCATACTGAAATTGTCCCTCCCCAATTCACCCATAAAAGACTGTCCAACTCTCAGCCAGAGCTGGAGATTCAGAGTATTAACACCTCCGTTTCTGACAGTGTAATAAAGAGTCCTCCTTTCTCTCCTGAGTGCCATTTTTCGTTTCTCAGCATCTGTTTTTCTGCAACATGGTGACTGTAAGATATTCACGTTATGAAGGTAGGAGTTAGCTGAGTATGCTGTTTGGCCCAAAAAGCGCAAATTCTGCAGAAACAGGGTGTCAAAATATTTCCTATGTTGTTATATTTTGATCAACTCGACTGGGGAGAAAAGTTCACATATTGGAATGATCACCTTGTAAGCTAAATAATGTGATTGAATGTATTAAAAAATGTAAATAAAATTTTTTTTTCAATTTCCCATGTATTTTCTCCTACAATGATTTCATGAAGAGAGTTACTTGTAACAAACAGAAGAAAGTACATTTTTAATACTCTCGGCCCAATAGGTGACTGTTCAGTGTTTTCTTCCTTTTTTAGGAGACAGGTTCATCTAATTGAGGTGCTCATTAGAAGTCTGTGGGCCTCATTTGGCACTTGGGGCAGTGGTCCTCTACTGAAAATGCACACAGATTCTCAGGTCTTCAGGAACATCTATTCTCCGTTCTATAGGAGTCTGTTCCTGAGCATAAGTAATCATCAGAGTCTTCCAGAAGTCAGCATTGTTCTCCATGTCAGCCCTGGCATAGGAAAGGAGTTGTCTCAAAAATACAGGTAACTGGTTAAAAAAAAGGGGGGGGGGGACTGGTAAACAGGTGTGAAGGCCTGTCTCCTCAGATGTCCTCAGATATCCAGCCCTTTTTGGCATTTTCCCCAGCAACTCTCTGCCACACCTAAGTATATGGTCTGTGAATTTTGGATAGAAGCCCTACCCTCCACTCCACCTCTTTCCTTGCCCTACTTGTTCATAGGTTGAGGATGTTCTAATCTCTGCTGAGCACTTCCATTCCTGATATCGTGTCGTTCCAATTGATTTAGAGAAGAGAGAATGAAAAAGGGAAGACATGGCCAGCTTATGGTACAATAGTGACATAACACTTTGTGATGCTGAGGCCACATAAGAAGTTCCTGGGTTCATATCTCTCTGTACATTTCTGGCATGGGCATGTATCCCTGTGATCCTGGCTGACTGAGGCTGGAGGCGGATCATGGTATGAAGATCCTGTTAGAGGATCTCTCTCTCTCTCTCTCTCTCTCTCTCTTCCCTCAACCCCTCTCTCTCTCTCCTCTCTCTCTCTCTCTCTCTCTCTCTCTCTCTCAATAAACGTTTAAGTGGAAGAAAGACAGAAAGGAAATAAACAAAGAGGAAGGAAGAAAAAAGAAAGAGAAAGAAGAAAGGAGGGAGGGACGAAAGGAAAGAAGAATGAATTTTTTGTGGGTTGTCTCTTGAGTTTCCTCACTTGATTGTTGTTAGAGTTTAAAAATAAAATAGGTAAATTTGGACACCAATAAGTGCAGAAACAAGATAGAAAGATGATCCCAACTGCATGTAAACACAAACAGATGGGGGACAAAGCCCCAGGCTCCCTAGAACCCAGAACAATAAGTTATAGGCTTCTGTCATCTACAGTGTACCTTGGGTCATTGAGCAGAGAAAAACACACTCCAGCACAGGGCTCCAGCCCTGCATCACAGAGCTAGGGAATATCACAAGAGTTCCTTATGTCCTTGAGCCCTGGGGAAGGGGCTAAAAGAGGAAGTGAACCTAAGGCATCTACTCCACCACCCAACCTAGCAGATCCCCCTACTCCTCATGATTCTAGATCCTTCTACCTTTTGCTGCACCTTTTTACTTTCTACCTACAACCTCTCCACATGTTGTGTGTGTGTGTGTGTGTGTGTGTGTGTGTGTGTGTGTGTGAATACAGTGTGTGTGGGTACAGCCAGCCCTCCATATCTGTAGGTTTCCACATCCATGGATTCAATCAACAGTTAATTGGAAATATTCTGGGGAAAAAAGTTAATTATGTCTATTAAACATGTACAGACTTTTCTCTTCTTGTCATTATTCCCTTTAAAAATGCAATAAAACAATTCTTTCCATAGCATTTATTGTGATAGATATTTTAAGTAATCTTGAGATGATTTAAAGTATATGGTTGTGCATTGCTTATACACAAATACTGCCCCACTTCATGTTAGGATCTGCAGATTTTAATATGTGAGGGCAGTTCTGAAACAAATACCCTGTGGATACAAAATGATAATTGCATATGTACATCGTACATTGGATTTGTGTGTGTGTATGTATGTGTGTATACATATATATATGTGTGTGTATATATATATATATATATATATATACATATATAATTTCAATACATACACATTAAGACAGATAAATATTACCATAATGCATATATATCATGGTAATATATGGTATGTATTATCATATACCATGTATTATAGCATATATTACCATATACCACATATTATGGTACATATTACCATATACCAAATTTTCCCTTTATTCCAAATATTTGCAGATCCCTGAATTTCATGTTTCAAATGAGTAATTTCTGTATCTCAAAAGAAACTGTCATGTGAGATTGCCATTTTCTTTCCCACCACCTTCTTCCCAAGCCTGAAATCCAGGTCGATAGGTGATGTCTGGTGGAGGTTTTTCCTTTGAAAGAAATCCCAGACCATATATTGGGGTGAAAGACTTCTTCACCTGACAGAGAAACACTGATTGCTTTTCATGTGTGCAAGACAACCAACTCCGGAGTTAATAAATGAGACAATTTTTTCTGCCAGAATAAGAGTTTATTAGGAGGTTAACAAAGGATTTTAATTACATCTCCAAAGACCAAAAGAGTGACAAGGAAAATTAATTCCAATTATGTTCTCTTTCGTGGCATCTCCATCGGTTCCACCACACTTAATGTCATTATTTTTAAATCACATTTAGATAAGTTTTGTTAAGCATAGCATGTTATACAAATTTGTCATATGATACACATATACACATATTAAACTTTGAGTTTAGGTAATATCTGGGTTGCAGAGATCCCTATGTGACTCAGAAGACACACTTTGTAGTCTTTGTGCTAAAGGATTAAGCCAGGGAATTCAGTGGAAGGCAAGCGCCGACCACTGGAAGCTGTTGCTGGTTGAAAGGTTTCTGCATTTTTCCAGAGTGTGCTCACTCTTGGTGATGTTTGGATGAAGTAGAGGTGAGATGTAACTGAAGTCTTTCTCTTCCTCCTGGCAGTGCATCCTCTAGCAACCAAAGTTGCCACAAGGCCCACATCGAGCACGTTGGACACAGGGAGCAGAGACGCAGGGCCCAATGGGCTTGTCACATGCATTGGTTGTGGCACAGGGGTTACAGGGGAGACTATAAACAGAAAATCATGCAGCAAGTTAGAGTAAAATGAGCTGAAGCGATAAAAACACACTAAAACCATTTTGAGTAAGAATATTGTTCTTCCTTAGACTGTTCCAATAAAAAGTTTGAAATTATAAATTCATTTCCATGAACATTGTTCATTCCCATAGCAACCTCATGTACCTCAAGGTTAGTTTCCTACTCACTTGCAGTCTTCGCTCTCCAGCAGGCCTCGGTACGTGTTGATCTCACACTCGAGCCGGGCCTTGACATCCAGCAGCACCTGGTACTCCTGGTTCTGACGCTCCAGGTCACAACGGATCTCAGCCAGCTGGGACTCCACATTGGTGATCATGCACTGAATCTGGGACAACTGGGAGCTGTAGCGGGCCTCACTCTCCGTCAGCGTGTTCTCCAGAGAGTCTCTCTGTGATAGGCAAGATGAAGAAAATCAAAGAGATGTGTACTTAAAAGGTTTCTCCATGGGTTTCTCTTCTTCCCCAAAGAAGTCAAAAGCTTCAACAGCTAAGGAGATCATGTGGCCTAAAGGATACCCCAGTGACTCTACATCCTCACCATCACACTGCCCACCAGCAGGGCTAAACGGTACATACCAGGTTGTGCTGGGCCTGCAGCTCGATCTCCAGGGCGTTGACCGTGCGTCTCAGCTCAATGATCTCTGCCTGGCAGGTCTGCAGCTGCTCTGAGCTGGACACCACCTGCTTGTTCAGCTCCTCACTCTGAAATACCCAAGGGAAAAGAACAGGATCAGACTCTGCTGTAAGGGCTCTAGGGGAGCTGAGGTCCAGAGTGGCCATGTGCTTGGATGCCCACCTGCGTGGTGTACCACTCCTCAACTTCCCTGCGGTTGGTGTCCACCAGGGCTTCATACTGACACCTGGTCTCATTCAGCACACGGTTCAGGTCCACAGTGGGAGCAGCGTCCACCTCCACATTGAGGCGGTCTCCAATCTGGCAGCGCAGGGTGTTGACTTCCTGATGGAGAAAGGGCAAAATTCTAAATATCATAAAATCTCCTGGTGCTCTTTTAAGAAAATATAATTCAACTTCTGATCAGATATCTGTTAAGCTTTCAAAAAGTTCCATTCTTGGGAACAGCAGTTAGCGTAATGGCCATGTCACTGGACTCCCACGTAGTCGACTACAGTTCGCGTCCCGGACCCGGTGGCTTAAAACTCATGCCGGGCGCGTGTGCGTGCGTGCCCAAGATCCCAAGAGGAGAATGGAGGAGAAGGGATTGCAGCGTGGGCACCCCCCCTGGGTGGTGATTTCTCACTTTCTGTCTCTCTCTGTCTGTCTGGCGAGCACACGCGCCCTGTAGCAAAAACCTCTCCAAAAAAAAAAGTTCCATTTTTTCTGATCATCTTATGAACTGGTCCTAGTTTAGTGACTAATCTATGTATCTACTTTGCAAAATGCCTTCAAGTCCTTGACTTCTTTTTGCTTTTTGTATTCATTGTACCACTCTTCATTTAAAGAGATGCTGTGATTTGGCCTCAGAACTGAAGCATAGTGGGTCATAATTTAAATTCTGGTCCCCAAATGCCCAGCTCAATGTTTTTTGCTAGTCTGCCATGTAGGCTTTTAGGTTTGATTCTTAGGCATGGGTAATAGAAAGGTAAGGGTCTAGCTAGAGAGGAAATTTAAAAAAAAAAGTTTTCTTCCAAACCTGCCTTCTTGGATAGAATAGAATTAATTGATGATCTGTTGCTTCTACTAGTATATATTTTGCTGAAGGAAATAAGTTTCTATTCACTTTACTGCTGAGCTCTTCACTGAGTCAGCATAGTTTGATCCTTGGGCTCATGTAGATATCAGACAGATTTGAATTGGATCTCATGTCTACCACTTACTACACAGCTTCTAGAAGTTTCTCAAAGTCTGAATGTCTTCATCTTAAACTAAGAAGTACTTCTGGAGTTCTAAAGCACTTAGCACAATGTTTGGCATATAATAAGCACTCGATTAATGTTAACTGTCACCATTTACATTTCTGGGATTTTAGGTTTCCATAAAGTATCTGTTTGCCTTATGTAGCTGACTGAGTGATGATGGTGAGAATTTTCCCTCATGTTTCTACCAAGCAACACTGAACAGTAGAAAGAGCTCTAGACGAGCATAAGGAGAGTTGTGTTTTGTTTCCAGCTCAGTCCAGCTGGGTGGCCCTGGATCATCCTCCTCTCCCAATTACAAAATGGAGAATTGAGATAAAAGGTCTCTGTGCTTTGCCCAATATTCTCTGACCTGGAGCAGGAGAGGCCATGGCTGCTGTCTCATAGTTGACCTTTCCTGCTTCCTGGGCTTGCCAACTTCCTTCGCTCTCATTTTTACCTCTGGCAGAAAAATCCTAATCTCATATCATGGATTTGGGGATTACTCATTCTCTACAAATTCCCTCTGTTTGGAAAACAACTGGTTCAACTAATTGCACCTCCATCGGCAGCACTTCCTATAGCCAAAAGAGCAGGCCCTGACGGGTCTTATCCTGCCACTCTTTGGGGAACTTCACCTGCTCATGGTTCTGCTTGAGGCACAGCAGCTCCTCCTTCAGGGACTCCACCTGGGCCTCCAGGTCAGACTTGCACAGGGTCAGCTCATCCAGGATCCTGCGCAGGCCGTTGATGTCCGACTCCACCAGCTGCCGCAGCGACAGCTCCGTCTCATACCTATGATGGCAAGAGGATCAGAGACAGGCTGGGCAGGAACAGGCCTGACCTCGACACTGCTTTGATTTGATCTGTCAGACAACTAGGAGTTAGGTTTATAGTTTTTATAGCCACCTCTGTTGTTGAAACTTTCCACGCCCAGCAGTAGCTCCTGGAGGGAAATGTACTGCTGATTGTTTTTTTAAACAGCCAGCGGGTAGAGAGGACAAAAGTTATAAATTGTGAGATTTCCAAACTTAATATTCTTCCCACATCCTTATGATTGAGTTCTGTGAACGATAGAGTATCAGAGTCCCATGACGTCTGCACCGACACACGGTACCATTGTGAGGGTGTCATTTACAGAGGAGAAACAGGAGTTGGAAGGAGTCTGAGGTCTGGAGAAGGAATCTCTAAACTCTTGGGTATAAGGGCTCCATGGATCCTAGGGACCCACAGAAACATCTAGAAAAAGCCCAGACAATCCAGGTCAGACTTGCACAGGGTCAGCTCATCCAGGATCCTGCGCAGGCCGTTGATGTCCGACTCCACCAGCTGCCGCAGCGACAGCTCCGTCTCATACCTATGATGGCAAGAGGATCAGAGACAGGCTGGGCAGGAACAGGCCTGACCTCGACACTGCTTTGATTTGATCTGTCAGACAACTAGGAGTTAGGTTTATAGTTTTTATAGCCACCTCTGTTGTTGAAACTTTCCACGCCCAGCAGTAGCTCCTGGAGGGAAATGTACTGCTGATTGTTTTTTTAAACAGCCAGCGGGTAGAGAGGACAAAAGTTATAAATTGTGAGATTTCCAAACTTAATATTCTTCCCACATCCTTATGATTGAGTTCTGTGAACGATAGAGTATCAGAGTCCCATGACGTCTGCACCGACACACGGTACCATTGTGAGGGTGTCATTTACAGAGGAGAAACAGGAGTTGGAAGGAGTCTGAGGTCTGGAGAAGGAATCTCTAAACTCTTGGGTATAAGGGCTCCATGGATCCTAGGGACCCACAGAAACATCTAGAAAAAGCCCAGACAATGTGTGTTGAGGTTGACAAGTAAGGAAAGGAGAGAGAAGAAATAAACAGAGACACCCCATTTTTCCCACTTACTTGGTCCTGAAGTCATCTGAGGCGAGTTTGGCATTGTCAATCTGTACCACCAACCTGGCATTCTCAGACTTGCCACACAGGATCTAGAAGACCCAAACAAGTCTAGATTAATCAAGAGCTTGGTTTTCACCAAAGTCAATCCCTACTAATTTACTTATGTGAGTCAGAATGAAAAATCACAACATATCTTACATAAGGCCATTCACTGTTGTCCATGTACAATAGGTACTCAATAAATATGTGAAAATTAAATTGAAAAAACAGAACACCAAAATAAGTGAGAAAAGTGTGAGTAGATAATCTTCCCTTTTGTTCCCTAATAAGCAATACTGAAAAACTGATCATAATAGCATTGATCAAAAACATCTACTATGTGTCTGGCATAATTCTAGGAGTGGAAGATACAGAAACAAGTAAAGATAGATCCTGCACTCAGGAAACTTTCTGTCAAGTGAGAATTAATAAGTAAATCAGCAATTACAGGGGATTCGGTCAAAGAAGCCACTGCACACTCCTGGCCATCCTGGGTGGCTTGTAACTATTTCCTTCTAGGAAGTTTTCGATCTTTCTGGTTTTAGCCAACCATTTTATGCCTTTGTTGGATATGGTACAGTAGGAGAACCCCAGAGACCTCCAGGTAGGGACAATGAAGACAGTATAATTAGGTACCCAGAAAAAGAAGGCAATCCATAGTTAGAAGAGGCAAAAGTTGAGAAGAGGGAGAAGCAAAATGGCTCGATCCTTTTAAAATATTCTATTTCCTCAGCTTCCTTCTTGGGTTCAGTTCATTTCTCTCACCTCAGGGTAATAATTCTGGAGCTTGGCAAATGCACAGAAGCATTCATAGGCAGCTTTTAATTACAACTAATGTATGCAAAGTGCTACTACCTCCTCAGAGACTAATAATATGCAAATATTCAGCATAACAGTTCCCACATCTAACATTAGATAGTCTTTCAAGAAAACAAAATGGAGCTCTTTCTTCTCGTTAGCGGCCTGAGGTGATCTTTGAAAATGGTTCACTATTCACTTGACCCAGAGAACCCCACAAAGTCATGCAAGTCAAGAGGTTCAAATCTTTGTGTTCACTTTAAGAACACTCATGAAATTGCCCAGGCCACCAAGGGTATGCATATCCGAAAAGCCACCAAGTATCTGCAGGATGTCACTTTATAGAAGCAGTGTGTGCCATTCCATCGTTATAATGGTGGAGTTGGTAGATGTGCCCAGGCTAAACAGTGGGGCTGGACACAAGGTCGGTGGCCCAAAATGAGTGCTGAATTTTTGCTGCACATGTTTAAAAATGCAGAGAGTAATGCTGAACTTAAGGGGTTAGATGTAGATTCTCTGGTCATGGAGCACATTCAGGTGAACAAGGCACCCAAGATGGGCCGTCGTACATACAGAGCTCATGGGTGGAGTAACCCATACATGAGCTCCCTCTGCCACATTGAGATGATCCTCACTGAAAAGGAGCAAATTGTTCCTAAATCGGAAGA